CTCAGGTTTTCAGGATGGCAGCTAGCCTGGGAGCTTGCTCTGCCCACTCCAGTAACTGCACACTGGGTTCAGGATTGCAGCAAGATTTAGGACGTTTGCCTTTCCAGATAAACTCAGTCTTGAAGCCAGGCTCACAGCCATGTGGTGGGAAGATTTTGGTCTTTCCTAAGGCAGCCTCTGGGCCAGGTAGGGAACAGTTGTATTCACCTGCCCCCTCAACAGGCTGGTGGATTTGGTGGCAGGAGGAAAATGGAGAGTGTTTTCCTAACTCTCAATGAATGCCTGCAGGGTCAGAGCCTGGTGCCCAGGAGGCTCCTGCCCACCCTGCAGGACAGGCAGGGGAGCTGGTGTGGGTGAGAACCATTTACCTTTGGATGTCTCCATTTTCTCTGCTCCAGCAGGGCTCAGTCTGCTGGATACAAGGTGTTCTTTCTGCCTGCCCTTGCCTGAAGAGCAGAGAGGGCTCCTGGAGCAGCCTTGGGCTGCCCTGCATGGGTTCAGCAGCTGCCCCTGACTCTGGGCAGCACAGGTCCGAGTCTGCAGGCAGAGGGGAGCAGGAGCAACAGGGGAAATGGCACCTTTCCCAGAACAGGGGTGCACAGATCTTCCCTGTAAGCCCCATACCCCTGGCAGAGCCAGGCAGGGCCCCTGGCAGGACACCCCTGCACCCAGTGCTGGGAGCAGCCACGAGCAGCCACATGGCAGAGTGCTGCCTGCACAAATAGGTACAGTGGCTCCTTGTCCTCCCTAATCCTTCTGTGGCAGAGCTTTTCTGCTCTGGAGATATTTTTTGCCTTCTTTTACATCTCCCTCTGGATGTATTCACAGCCTGTTGCAGTTGTTGCTCTGCCAGCTTTGTGTCTTCAGCTGTTTCTGTGATGCCCTGGTGCATTTAGTAGCAAAATTTGGCATTCCAGGCTGTGCTGCCATTCCCCTTCCAGCATCTCCCCAGCCTGCCCTGCACACCCCCAGCCCCTGGAGCCCTGTTTTTCCTGCAGGCTGGTTCCCAGGCACTGCTGTGCACTTTGGTCAGCACTAATTCCTCAGCCTGCTTTGGAGCTCTTTCCTGCTAAAGTTTTGTGTGCACTGCTGCTCCAGGGTAGAGTCACCAAGTTCTTGACTCAGCCTGGCCCTGTGCCATGAGAAGAACTCGATTATCTCACGGTCTCTGCTAAACCTAAGCCCAGCTGCATCAGAGGCAGAGTCAGAGCAAGTCCTTATGTGGGCTAAGGGTACGTGCAGGCTGTGGAAGAAATTGCTCCAGGGGCAAAAGGTGACTCAGTGTGAAGACAGGAGCCAGCAGGTTGTGCAGACTTCAGTCAGGGTGTGCTCCCAAGACACAGCACACAGAAACCATTTCGTCAGGAATTGCAGGAAACTGCTGGTGGATTTGTGCAAGGGCTGCCTCATAGGCAGTGGAGAGGCTGAAAGGCATCCACTGAGAGGCTTTCAGTCATCTGAAAGGCAGAGGCAGTGTGTGACATTTGACTTTGGGCTGGATGGGTCTTTCTGGGAGCAGCACTGGTTACAGAAAGCAAAGATTTCAGTGGAGCCAGCTCCATGGCAGCTGCCTTGTTGGCTCACAAGATACAGGCACATCCAAACAGCTGCTGTCCTTCCTGAGATGCCATCTAAGCCAGGATAGGAGCCATCAGCAAAGAAATATGAAAAGCTGAGGTCTCCACTCACCAGAAAAATAAATATTGACAGTGGACATTGCTAGAGAGTCTGGATTCCTTCCATCATTTCCTGAAATCCTCTAACAGCCATAAGTGTTTAATTTACGAATGTAAAGAAGGGATTTTTTCTTGCAACACTCAGTCTGTCTCCAGCGCCTCGTGCTCCTTTTCCTAGCCCTTGTCCTTGTGGTGACATCCCCTCTCCAGTGCAATCCATAACTCTGTGCTGGAGGCCACAGGTCTGCTTGGAATTACTGAGTCCTTCATCCTGGCACCTTGGAAGGAGCTTGTTTAATGCAAGTTCTGTAAAAGAGACTGATTTCCCTGAACCATGAGGCAGTTAAGAGGCTTTTATAAATCATCCATTTTCCATGCCCCTGGCAATTTAAAAACTATCCTTCTGGATCAAATGAAACATGCTATTTTATACCAAATGGTCTGTTCATAGCTGGAGCTTTTCTGTTTTTATTTTGGTGATTAGGAAGCTGCTTCTAAACATGGAGGTTGCAAAGTTGAGAGCTTTTATTTTGAGCTATGGCATCCCAATATTTTAACCTAGGTTTACAATGGATTGCTTGACAGAACCAATTTAGCACAAATGGGACAAATATATCAAATATATTTCAACCAGAAAGGATTTGGCCCATTTTTTATATTTAGCTGCATTAATGATCTTTGCCAACTGCTTTGCCATTTGCAATGAAGTATTTCAGCAATGATGCTGCTGTTCCTTTATTTCCTCAATCAGAAGCAGATTTATACAGAAGGGCTTTTTAATTTCTTTGTGCAGCTGCATATCTGTCATAGTCCAAGAACCTAGCTCAGGGGATTCTTGGCTCTTTGAAATCTCTTTTTCAGCCTGGTGGCACCTTTACAAGCTTGCATTCCCTCAGCTTTAGTGTTTTGATTACTCTTTCCCCCCAGGGCAGCTGTGGGGCTGGCCAGGCTCAGGGAGGAGGAGGAAGCTGAGGTGTTCCTGAGCATACAGTGACTCCAGGGTTCAGTCACCGAGCTGACAAATCCTAAAAACTCTCATTCATGAGCAAACCAAACGAGTCAGCTTCCAGATATTTGCAGCAGGGAAGGCAGACAATCAAAGGAGACACAGTGCCTGTGGCTCTGCTCGGTGCTGGGCTCAGGGGAGCTTTGCTGTGGCACCAGGGGCTTCCAGGAAAGGTGGCACAGGGGACACAGGCAGGGCTGAGCCCAGCCAGCAGTGATGGCACCAGGCTCAGCTCATTGCACAGAGCTTTGGCAGGGCTTGCTGGTGAGCCAGAGCTGCTCTGGTTTCATTTATGTCTTTTTCCATGATCTTGTCATCACCTTATGATGGATATTTTTTTATATTTTTTTGCAACTTAATCCCATTTACACAACAGTTTAATAAGATGTAAATCCACTGCCTGTCCCTGCCCTGACCTTGGGGCTCTGAGGCTCTGGTACAGCACACACAGGGATTGTCCCTGCCTGTCCCACAGCTGGGACACTGCTCACAGCTTCAGTCAGTGAGGCTGGAGCCAGCCAAGCCCTGAGCACGTGGCCTGTGCAGAGCTGTGCCCTGGGACACCCATGTCTCTCCCACCCGTGGCAGTGCCTCCCCCAGCGTTGCTGGAATGGGCATGGATCCTCTCCAGTGAGCCTCAGCTGAGCCCTGCAGGAGCAGCCTGGCTGCAGCAGCACTGCCAGGGCAGGAACAGAGCAGGAGGAGCAGTGCCAGCACAGTGGCACGAGGAGGGGAAGGGAAAAGCACCTGTAGTACACAAAGGGGTTGTTTTGGGCAGGACATGGCCAGAGCAGCTGGACCAGCAGGTCCAGCACAGACCTGCACCCTCTGCTCCTTCCCAGGTGCTCCAGTGCTGCTGGATGTGTGGTGGAGCTCTACTGTTGCAAATCCCAACTATTCATTTTTTCCAACCTAATCTTCTCAGGAATTGACCCAGTTCTAGCATTTGGGAACTGGCATTCACTCTACTGGCAAATGTTTCTTATTTGTTTCGAACAATGTGTCCAGTGTGACCTTTTCTTTTTAAAGAGCTTACACAACGGGAATACATGAATGCTAAATTCTAATCTTGCATAACTCTGAAAGCAGGGCCGTACATTTACCAGCAGTAAGGGACTTTTCCCCCCCATCCTTTGCAGGAAGTAAGAAGGAAAATCCAGCAGTGTGCAATTCCAGAAAGAGCACAACTCTCCCATAACCCCCTTACCCCCAAAATTCACATGGCTCTCAAGGTTGCAGTGTTAGCACTGCACATTTCTGCATGTCTGTGCACACTGAGAAATGGAGAGGACACCTGGCAGCTGGAAAGGGGCCTGATCCTGCCCTTGCTGCTCCAAAACAGTCCCACTGACAACAGCTGGGAAGTGACAACACATCCATTCAGCCTCCCATCAAACAGTGATACCCTGAGTCCTGTACAGGTGCTGGGAGGACACTTTTCTTCCTAACAAGAAGCACTTCTTCAGTTCCTGATGTCATTTCTCATGCTCTTTGTATGCCTGAGCTCTTTCCCAATATGCCTAAATCTGGCCCACGGGAAGAGTCAGCCTGAGCCACAGCCTTGTCAGGGCACGCACAGCACAGCTCTGCTCTTCCCAAAACATCCCATTGTCCCTCCTGGAGGGCACTCGCTGCAGTCACATTCCTGCAGCTCACAGGAGGCAGCAGGGCCGTGGCTGACTCATGTGTGACTGGCCATGACCTTGAATGATCCTTGGTAGGTCAGCAGGAACCACCAGATGCTTTTCCAGCAAGGTGTATTTGGTAATAGATTTCTCACCTGGAATAAACCAGGTGTGGTGGAAGCACCTGCTCCTTGCAGGTTCTCCAGGCTGGGGAGGGCTTGCAGGAGAGGAGGGGTGAAGGAAATGGAGGCAGGCAAGGCTCCACAAACTCGTGGCTGAATGCCTGGCTAGAGCAGAGGAGTGAGGAGAGGGATAATTCTCTGCATTTCCTGCAGAGCCCCAGGAGCCAGGAGAGGCTGGATTGGTTCCAGAGGCAGGGAGATTCTGGGAATGCTCTGTGGTGGGTCCCACTGGGGGTGGTCCTGGGGACCTCCTGGTGGAGCCACAGGGGTGCAGGCAGTGCCTGGGTCTGCAGTGAGCCAGGGCTCCAGCCACAGCTGCTGGGGACAGCTGTCTGTCACCAGCTCCAGCAGACAGCCTGCACTGATTCTGTCATTTGGTTTTCATCTTAATGAATCACTTCAATATTTCAAACATACCTTTGACCCACTTGAGCACGTAACAACAACAATTAGCACCAGAACCTCATAAAACCCAGCAATGTTCCCTCTGATCATTAGTAAAGCCTCTGACCGTGTGGCCAAAGCCACCACATTGCAATGCAACATCTGATCCCTGGGGAGCACAGAGAGGAGTCTTTAAAAACCACAGGATTTCTGTGAAATGCAAAGCTCTGAGCCATGGAACTGCCGAGGAGTCCCACACTCCAGAGATAGATGGGTTCCCACGCAGCTAGAGGTCAAGGTAAGAGCACTCTGACAATTTTAAACCTCCCCATGAAAGCATTTGTTTATTTTTACCTGCCTTCTGAAATCATATGAATATATTCAAATCACCTTACTGGAAAGGAAAAGAAGCTTTCTGTGCTAGCATGCACAGTCAGTCCTTGGATGCTGCTGCTCATCAGCTCTGAGCTAGAGCTGCTGCTTCTCCAGCTCTGCAAGGCAGCTCTCCTTTGCCTCTGCTCCCTTGGACCTTTCTGAAACACAGACCCCCTGCCTACAGGTTGGTACTGACACTGGTTTTATCCTGTGTTTGATAGGTTAAAGAAGTAATTCCTCTGATTTCTTCTGCCTACATGTTCTCGCTTCACGGTGAAACAGAAAAATTACTGCTATTGCTGTAATAATAATACTTATGTAATAACTATATTTATGTGATGGATTTATGTGATATAATAGTTACAATTATATGATGGACTGGGGGGATTTGATATTAATTTAAATAGAAGATTTTTTGTTAAAATTGTTGTGTATTTTTAGTTGCTGCTATGTGCAGCCAGCTCGAATTTCTGGTTAATTTTAAACACATACAGACACCCTGGCCAGCACAACCTGTCTCCTCCTTTGGCTCTCCTGAGCCACTTCGTCCAGTGATGGAGGGTTTGTGTTGGCTCCAGTCCTCAGATTTCTAAAGACCCCTCTGACCTGAAGTTCTGTTGTTCAGCAGAGCCCAAGTTTCCCATTGCTGCACAGTAACTGTGGCTGCTGAAGAGGAAGCAGCTGTGCCAGAGTCTGACCTGGGATTTCACCTGCTTAAGCCAGGCTTGTGTAGGCAATATAAAGTGAGTTTGTTTTCTGAATAGATCTCAGTGATAAATTGCATGCTCACACTGAGGCTGCCAATTTCTTACTCAAGTTGAGCTCAAGCAGTGGCCTCAAGGTTCCAGGAAGATTAATATCTATATCTAGACCTATTCATATACCAAGATCTGTATCTATATCTAATCTATATCTCTCTCTCATCCTTCATCTCTATCTAATTTATACCTAGACCTGTATCTATATGAAAAAAATTAAAACCCTGTCAGAATCCATGTGCTTTCTGGCATAGGGAAGCGTGCTGACCTGGGGTGTCTGTAGGCAGTAATTTCTACCCACCTTTAGCATGAAGTCTGAAGGAAAGAGCAGCCCCCTCCCTGCAAACTCTGCTCCTTTCCCTCTCAGTCCCCATCTTCCCTCCAGCAGACTTGCACATGTATAGAAATTTGTCCCCTTCAAATATTGCCATGACAACTAAGAATTCTCACAAACATTCCTACCATTCTTACCACGTCCTGAAACAGCAAAGGCAAAAGGTGGGGATAGTTGCATAAGATGTGCCTAGATAAGACAAGGCTCAGGCATTCTGTTTTCATTTTTTAAATGAGTATCACTGGTCCAAGGCTCTTCCTGTGGCAGGGAGTTGAATCACTTTCCACAGAAGGCATGAGACAGAGGGCTGGTGATTGAAGTACTGACACACTTCTGTAGAGTGTACTTAGCTGGCCAAAAACTATTTCAAATGAAGCCACATTTGGCCATCACCAAAAGTTGCAAAGAGAAGTCCTCTGGGAAATAATTAATCAGCCTTGGTAAACAAGTAAAGCCACGCTCATTGTCAGTGCTGAGCCTGCAGAGGGAATACCAGGGTAATGCTGAAGCCTTCCCCCTCTGCTGTGTCTCCACAGCCCCTCAGAGCCCTGCTGCAGCACTGTTCTCCTGACCTGCCACTGGCAGCCTGGCCCAGATGGCTCCCTGGAGGCTTCCCCTGCTCGCCGTGGCTCTGCTGTGGGGCTGGGTGCTGGCCTCCTCCTCCTCCCCCAGCACAGGTAAAGCTCAGCATGCTCTTGTGTCACTGCTTGGTGCTCACTTGGGCCCTTTGGGGGGTTTGTTCCTCTTTTCTTCTCTCTGTGTGCATTGCTCTGTGAGTGCTGGTTCATAACCATGTAATCCATTGTAAATATGGCATGTGTTTGGTGGCTGTTTTGTGAGTGGATTTGAAAGGAGAAGAGGCAGTTTTTGGTGCACAGCAAGTATATTTGTTTGATAGAGAGTTATCAAATAGAAACACTGCTATAAATGCTCCTGAGCATCGTCCCAGACAGACAGACTGTGCTGGGTGTAAGAAACACAAGGCTTATTTGTACTTGGAGATTAATGCTTCTGAGGGAATAATGCTCTGCAAGCTGTCATTCATGCGATGGCACTTCAAGCACCCTTTGCTTCCAGCCCTCGAGCCGCCCTTGCTGCACTGCACCTGCAGGCTCTCTTGGCAGCTGGCATTTGCACCCAGAGAGATGCTGAGCAGGTGTGGCCCTCCCTGATGGAAGCAGTGCATGGTGCAGAGGTGAGAACATGCCCAGGAGGCCACTGAGAGACTGCCTGTCCTGCCAGCCAGCATGCACAGAAAGCTGCCACAACCCCCTGTTGGAATAAATCAGGCAAGGCTCCATTTTCTTCATGTGGGAAAAGCCAAAATTTTGTTCACATAACTTGTTTTATACAGTTTTCACAGACCTCATGCGCAGCATCTATTGGCTGGTAGTTTTCTTACTCCATTTTTTGGTCAGAAGGTGATTTGTGTGTACATGCTAAGGTTCAGGGTGTTCACATTCTTCTTTTGTGGGTTCTCATGGAACAGATCTAATGTTTGTGCAGGTGTACTTATTTTTCACCCAAGCATAGGTTGTTATGTTAACAAACTTTTCATACCAAGATTGTTTTCACTTGGGATCTTGCAAAGTACAAACTGCTCTTAGAAGAACTGACAGGCCAGCTATGAATCCAGCAGAACAGGCATGATTTTATGAGGCTTTTCTTTTATAGTTCTTTTACCTGTCTATGACACGCCCCCTGCTTCCACTCTGAGCAAAGCCTGCTGCCTTTGAAATGGGCTCCAGAAAACATGAGTGTCACCTCCACCTGTCTGAGCAGCACGGGGAAGGGCAGACATAGAGGGGGGACATTTGGGGGGACACCTGGCAGGCTGCTGGTTTTCCACTGGCAAAGTAGGTGGAAAATTGCAAACCCAACCTGCATCTCAGAGGGCGTGGTGTGGACAGAGGTGGTGAGGGGCAGCTGACGACAAGCAGGGGTTTGTCACCTGTGAAAAGCTCCCCCTGAGTTTCCCCTGACGTGGACATTCCTAAAAGGTTCTGTGCCAGGATTGAGAGGTACACAGCACTTTTGTTTTTTTCTGTCATCATCAGGTTGTTGTTTATTTTTCTCTTATCAGCAGTTCAGCACACTGTCTAGACTCCAGACTTAGCACACAAAGAGAAAGGCTCCAAAAAAGTCACAAGACACACAGGTTCAAGGTCTTTTAAAACTATTTTGTCCAATTAACTCTTAGAACATATTTTATTTCTACCTTTCTACCAATAACTAATTATTTGTCTGTTCACACAACATCTGCATTGTGGCTCTTTCTAACAAATCACCCTGTGCCACCAACACTGCAGAAAATGGAGCAGATGAAGAGCAAGAAGGAGATCAGACAATGCCCCAAATCCTCCATCTTGTCTTCTATCCACCTCCAAACTGAAACCCCAATACTCTGAGTTTTTCACTCTGTGATAACCTATACCACTGTCTATTTCACACGCTCGGAGATTCCAGTCCATCCCAAAGTCTTGGCAGCTTTCTCCACGAATGAAGATTAAAAGCAGTGTTCTCCTGGGGGTCACACTTCTCAGGAGAGCCAGAGGAGCATTCCCTGTGCCCTGGGTTCCAACAGTCACCAGAGCAGCGATGCTGGTGGCAGCGTGCCCAGCCAGGAGGGTGGCAGTGAGGGCTGTGGCTGCCTCACAGCCAGCTCAGCATTACCTACTCACCACCACAGACATTCTCAGGGGGAGAAGCTGTTTGTTTGGTTTTTTCCAAGAAACATCCAGGAGCAGCTTTCCTTCCAGACTGCGTGGTGAAATAGAGCGTTTCTAGTCCTGTGTTCTGTGTGAGTGATGGGGATGTGAGTGAGACTGCCAATGTATTATTGTGAAAATGAGAAACTGCAAGAGGCAGTGCTGACATTTAAAAAACAATGAAACTCCAGAATGCAAGCAACATCCCAAAGAGAAGCTTTTCTGTTCCCTCTGAAATCCAGTCAATTTTTTTTGCAAGAATTGCTGTTTACAATTACAATTGTTTTGAAAAAATACTTCTGTTTTGCTCAAGCTCAAGATATAAATAAATTTCAGAGCATTCTCTTATCCAGACAGAAATTCCAGTTCTGACCAATCTAATCCTCTCTTGACAGCTTATCATGACAAAGGCTAGCAGTTCTTTGCTTCCTTGTTTGCACTTCTGTGAGGCACAGCATTTATACACTCAGGAGGAGCCTCCCAAGTGCTTGGTCCAGTATCATCCTAAATGCATTCCTACTTCACCATCTGATGTAGTAAAAAATCTCCCATGGAACTTCACATACTGGGAAAAGTGGGATTTTCAAACTGCTGCCTGGATTGTGTTTTATTTGGGAAAATTCCTGTAGAAGAAACAAATCCTCCAGCAATGTACCCTGCAAACTTTCCAGGGAGCACATTGAAGCTGGATTTATATCACCATCTTCCACTGAAAAATATCCTTATGGTCTGCTTTCACAATGGATTTATTAAAAGAATAAAAGAAAAAAAAATGGTGTAAATCCTGATGAAGACATGAAAAGGGTGTTAGAGAAGTCAGTGATCTGGAGGCCAGATTCAAAGGGAGAATGGTGGTAATTCTGGACTGGCTCTGCCAGGACATGGGCTCCAAATTCCTGTGAAATGAAGTGTATCATGCAATGAATATGTAAAAACCAAATGGATAATCTCACCTCTAGATAGTGGAGAAAAATTACCTTAGATGTTGACAAAAATTGGCTTTGTTTCAGCTAATAAAACTGAGCAGCCAAATGATTTTTGTCATGTGAATGACAACTCCATATAGAGCTGGACCTTCAGGACATGTCTGAGTATGGAATTCATCCATACTTCCTTATTTATTGACACATATCAGCACCTTGAAATAGGTTTATAAAAGTCAGCTCAACTGTAAAGGCACATTTTTGTATAGGTGATAGATGTCCAAAATAAGAACTATTCTAATTCTCTGCTTTTTACCCTTTTTTCCCCTGTTTTTTTTTCCTTCACAATAATCTTTAATACACTTGAAAGAAATATTTAAAGCAATATAGGTTATTTGTGTCTATTATGGCAAAGGAATATAAATCCCCCTGAGAGCATGCTTTGATCTGTGTTGTTGGATGTGCTGAGCACAATGTTTGCAGAGATAAGTGTCCTGAAGGTTGGTAAATACCAGGGGTTGAAGGTAAGCAAATACAGGACATGAAAGATCATCCCAGTTCAGCAGTTTTGCTTAAAACATCTTGAAAAAGGGTGTGAAAAAGTGTCATTCTGTGTCCTTTTCAATGATCCTTGAGTGCTTTCTCAGCAAAAACTGTTTTTTGGGGGGTGGGCAGGGGCAGAGCTCGTGTGTGTTTGTTGGACAGCCAGGGCTGCAGCACTGCCCTGCACATCCAGCAGCTGCATTTCAACAATTCACAGCAAAGTGTCACACTGGCTGTTGCCTGACTGCCTTGGGTTTGTTTTCTCCACTTTCACTCTCTGTTTCACCCTCTGCTTTGTTTTTAATGCAGTTGCTCCCCCACGGGACCTTCGGATCACCGACCCCGGGCTCCTGGGCTCTCTGGATGTGGAGTGGAAGCCTCCGCCCCACACCCAGACCTTGGAGGAGTGCACAGTAAAATACAAGTTTGAATATCGCAGCACTGGGGATAGAGACTGGAAGGTAAGGCACAGCAATAATCCTCCCAAACCAGGCTGTTGTTCTGCCCTTACTTCCTGCACAGATTTATGTCTGCACTTCAAGCAGGAGTAGAACCAAAGCTGTTCCAGTTTTCCATGAGAAACCAGACTGTTTCAGTGGTTTGAATGGGAATGTGCTTTGAAATGTAACTGCAGCAGCAGCCAGGGAAGGGGTTCTTTCTGTCACAGGGCTGGGTGTTTGCTGATGCCCAGAATAATAACATTCCTCATTGTAAAAGGAAAAAATATTTACAATTTTCTAAAGCATCTTTATGGGGCTTGAACTGAAACAACAGATCCTTAGGGATGCAGAGCGGTGAACAAATAAAAGTTAAATATCATTAATTATCCTAATGCTCTAAAATTCCCTGTACACATAACTGTGTTTCTAATTACCATTTACTTTATCTTTTAGATGTGGTTGACTCTAACTCAGCTCTTTGACAAAATTGTCAGTCATCTCTCATTGACGTGTAGCAGGGCAGAAGCAGGCACAGCACAGGAAGGGTTGTTGGAATATATTTTGTGAGTGCTTAGAAGATGAAAGCTGCTGAAGGGTTAGGAAGGTAAATGGAATGGGGAGAGGAGAAACCCAGCAGTGGGGGGCTCTTTGGTTGGCACAAGGTACTGAGGAACACATGAAATATATGCTGAGGATCTCCCCCAACAACCTAAAATACAGATTGAAATCCTGAAAGAAAAAGGGATTTTTTGCACAATCCTAAAGCAGGAGAGATAGAGGGCTTAGCCAGGAGAGAGAAGGAGCACTCAGTCAGGCTGGCAGTGCTGGAGCCCAGCTCCTTGCTGGAGCAGGTCACTGCTTCACCTGCCTGGGGCAGCAAAGCCAAGGCTGCCAGGCTGTGCTCAGCCCCCACAGATATGGGGTTAGGCCCAGCCACCCCACAGGAGCCTGCAGAGGGGAAAATCCTGTTTCAGCTATGGGTTGCAGTTGCAAGGGCATGGAAGGGGCTCCTGGACCTGATGCAGGTCATGATGCACCCCATGCTCCCAGCTGTGCAGCAGTGTGCATCTGTGCAGAGCCCTCCAGGATGATTTTAACTGCAATTTACAAGAAAACCATATGCAGTTTAAAAAAAAAAAAAAAAAAAAAAAAAAAAAAAAAAAAGAAACCTTCAAAGGGGGTGCTCAAAAAGTCCCACAAAGGCCAAGCCAGCTGGTACACAGTGGTGGTTGAGGCTGGGCTGCACTGCCTGGCTGTTGGTTCACCCTTTGAGGGGCTGCTTGTGCTTCCCACAGGAATCAGCCTTACAATACTCATTGTTCTTTCTGTTTCTGATTATTTCATACCATTAAAAAAAATGCCTTTGATGTGGATTTGTGGTGGTATCCTCCTCTGCAGTGCTTCTTGCTGCTTGGGGTCCCATTAATCAGCCTGCTCTGCCCTGTCCTGGCTGGGTCCTGTGGGGTGAAGGGACTCACAGCCAGCAAGGCTGGGCACAGCAGGCATGGATTAGTGCTGGAGGAGCACTGGGCAAGTGAGGCAGGACAGAAATATACAGAGACAGTAAAGCACACAAATGAGACTATTTGCAGCTGGAGCAAGAGCAAGGGTACCTAATTCTGCAGCCCACTTAGTGACAGAAGAGGTGCTTAAAAAGTCTGTCTTTCAACCAGGTTATTTTTACTAGGAAGCTAAAACTCAGAGTTGGATTTGACCTGAGCAGGACTGCTGAAGTGAGGCTGCAGACACTGCTCAGAGGACAGTGTACAGGTGATGTGGAGGTGCAGAGTGACTGGATTTATGCAACATTTCAGATCCCACCACAAGGTTAGGACCAGCTTGTGGTACGTGCTGCAGTTGGGTGCTTTGCTTGAGCCTGTTGCATGAGCCAGTGCTGGCTTGAGGGTTCCTGGATGGATAAATTATTGCAGGGCTTGCTGCTGTTTAAGACACTAGAGTAGCTCTGCTGCCAAAGGCTGTGGTGGTGGTTACTGGATACCTGGGGCTTCTTTCCCTCTGCCTGTGCCCAAGCTCTGCTCAGCTGCCCTGCAAGAGCTCCACTGCTGAATGAAAAGGTCATTTAAGCATCTTTCTACTCTGAGGTGGACTGGCTTTTATGAGAAACAAAGCACTTGGCAGTAAAACTAATAATTCTGACTGGCTGACTTTTCTTTTTTCCTTTCTTTTCTTTCCATTTTTTATCTTTCAACTGCAGCACACAGTTGTTCAAAGGCATAAAACTGTGGTTTTGCTGCATCTGACTGATACACTGCTGAACAGTGGTTATTTCCTTCTCATTTGACAGGAAAACTTGAATCAGAGGTCCAGAATTTCAACTGCATCTATCATGACTGGGAATACCTGAAGTGCACCTGGCAGCCAGGTCTCCTCACACCTCGTGGTGTACATTATGGGCTATATTATTGGTATGTAACAGCAAAACAGGAAAACATCCAGACAGCAATCAAGTGAACCACTCAGAGTACAAAAATGCCACAGTAAATATGCTTTTACAGCTGGCAGTGCTATTGCCCAGTTCACCCAGAATGAGCCAAAATAATGTCCTAAGCAATACACAGCTTCTGGCAAGAAAACACCAAATCCTTTCTTACTTTCTTGAAATCAGGCCCATGCTGATCTTTGCCAGGAAATATCTTCTCACTTCCTCCTTTCCTTTTATTCATCCCCAGGAGGTGTTTTCTGCTTGTTGTCCACCATAAAGACTTGTGTTTTCACTTTGCTAAACACACCTGGATAGCTCTGGCTGCACATTTCCCATGATCACAGTGCATATATCTCAATTGGACAGGATTTAGCACAAGGCTACCAAGCTCAGTGAACCCTAGACACAGAGTGGAGCTTCTCAGCAACTTAGAGTTTTAGTGTTCAAACATATTTTCATAGCCTCAGCACATCCCATACAAGCAAACATGCTGCCACAAGGTAATAATAATAATAATAATACATAACTCTCAGCTGTTTCTTTTAAACTGGTGCCTAAATTCTGTTCTGCAAGAAAACCAGCTAGAATTAGTGGTTTGGACAAAAAAAAAATGCTGTGTTTGTGCTTCAGCTCCTATGATATTACGGAAAGGATGACTTAGGCTGGGTTTTGTGCCACTGGGCTATGTGGAGAAAAGCATTTTAAAGAGATTCCATGTAGTTCTTGGAAATAGTCTTCAAAGGAGAAGCACCAATTCAAAACCATCTTGCTAACTGCAAAGATCTGCTTAAAGGAAACCATGGAAATGCATGATTCATGCCTAAAAGGAAAACAAACACTAAAAAACCCAACCTTGATTCAATTGCCTTCAATAAAACCAGGCATTTGGATCTGGGTCCCATTTTATCACAAGATTGGGTGGACACCACGGCATCCTTTGATCCCTGTGAGCAAATTTTTATAGTACTAGAACATGAAGTTTTTCCCCCAAACATAATGAGCTGTGCAAGGAAACTTTCATTAGGTCTGGAGTACAGGGGCCAAATTCAGCCCTATCATGAGGGCATAAAACAGCAGGAATCTTAAAAGGCAATATGAGACACCAGTCAGTATTTCCAGGATGCAGCCAGCAGCTCAGCTTTGGGGAGTGGCCCCCAAAGGCAGAAGGGACAGGGTTGTGGCTGCACATTAAATAACAAACAGCAAACCCCTTCCTGGCAAACCCTGAGTTTCCATGTGCCCAGGGAGCGCCATGGGAACCACCTGCTGTAAGCCACAGCAGCTCAGCAGCACTCACGACGTTCATGGCACACATCTCCTGCCTAAAACCACTTCATTTTGGTTTGGGAGGGGACTTTTCTGCAACTCCAGGGTCTGTGGATGATGATGCAGGAAGGGCCCTAGAGGAGCAGGACTGTCTCTATGAATAGAGGCCAGATCCTTCCCCAGCTCCAGTAACACAGTGGCACCTGTTGTGCTCCAGGAATGGGCTTGGGGAGAGCCTGGCATAGCCTAAAAACTGACCTGAAAAGCTGTCTGTGCATGTTAATTTGGGTTTTTTCTCTTCTCCACACTTTTGCCATAGCAGGAGTCCAGGTGACTGACCCACAGCACTGTTCTTTGGACAAAGGCTGGGATATGAGCAGCACTTGAAACTTAGGTCCAATCTAAAAAAACCCATCCTACTAAGCAGTAATTTGCTTTGGTTCTTTTTTCTGTTTCCCTGCCCGCTGCCAGGTACGAGGGGCTGGAGCAGGCGCTGCAGTGTGATCACTACATCCAGGAGCACGGCGTGAACCTCGGCTGCGTGCTGCACAACCTCAGCCAGGCAGAGTACAGGGATCTCAACATTTGTGTCAATGGCTCAGCAGCAGCCACTCTGCTGCGGCCACTCTACACCACCCTGCGCCTCCACAACCTCGGTAAGGATGGCAGGGAAGCCTCTGGGGACCCTCGTGCCACCACACACCCCAGGCCCGCTTCCTGCCTTAGGGGACTCCATTCAATGTGTGCTTTTGTAGCTGGGTGCTTGGGACGTGTGCCTTTCCCCCAGGGAAGGGGCTGTGCCATGTGCCAAGCAGGACTTCAGTTTCCAGGAGTGTTTGGAGGCAAGCAACACCACCCAGCACAGCCCTGGAGGTCGGTGGGTGCCTCCAAGTGCTGCATTTGGCAGCTGGACAACTCAGGACATAAATGCCTGCTGGGCATGTGGCAGAGCAGCTATGGGGTTTTTGGCTGCAGCAGCACGGTCACAGAGATATCTTCATTTACTCCTGCTGGAATTTAAACCACTGCTGCACTCCTTGCAAGCACAGGAGAGATCTTTGGGCTTTGCTGTTCAAACCAAGCTAAGGTGTGGGGTGAGCTGAGTGCAAGGTGTCATGGGGTCTGCCAGAGATGGATTTCAAACCCACGGGAGACAGGAGAGAAAGGGAGCAGAGCACGGCATGATGTGCAAACATTACATGTACTTAGTGTTTATTATGGTGTATATTAATTAAATGCACTCACTGTGCTGGAGCATTTGCCTACATGCCAGAAGGACAAATAGCCAATCGTCCAGCTGAGCCGCTGGGCTAACGAGCAGCATTTCTGAATTCAATTAGTGCTGCCACGTGCCTCGCATGTGGCTCGGGGTATGGGACACGAATCAGAGCCTTTCCTGTATGCAGAGCGTGCAGGTTGGGTATGGGACATGAACCAGAGCCTTTTCTGGATGCAGAGTGTCCAGGGTTGGTATGGGACATGAACCAGAGCCTTTTGTGGATGCAGAGTGTGCAGGGTGGGTATGGGACACGATCCAGAGCGTTTTGTGGATGCAGAGTGTGCAGGGTGGGTATGGGACATGAACCAGAGCCTTTTCTGGATGCAGAGCATTGTCCCTGCAGGGCCAGGCTGCCCCGGCAGCGCGGGGAACGGCCGCGCTCACACCCCGCGCTTCCAAACCCCTGCACCCAGCCCAGAACAAGGACCCCGGCCAGCCTGTGTGTCAAGTTAAAATAAACAACACACCCTCCACTCTCGGTGACATCCTGCAGCATGGTGGCCGAGAGCCAGGAGCGCTCACAAATCCCATCGGCGGGGACAGGCGCAGCGGCTGGCGGCGATGAACCGCAGCCTTTCCGCCAGGAGCTGTCCGAGCGCGCTGCTGACCTTGTCCCTGTCTCTCTTCCCCCAGCGCAGCCCTCGGCCCCGGAGCAGCTGGTGCTTTCCGTGTCGGCAGCCCAGGAGCTGCTGGCCGCCTGGAGCCCCCCGGGCGGGCGGGTGCCGCCGCACTGCCTGGAGTACGAGGTGCAGGTGGCGGAAGATGCGGGGCAAGCCGCGGCTGCCTGGGCGGTAGGGACAGCACCCGCGGTGTCCGGGGACGGGGAGGGGTCGGGGAGCCTGGCCGAGCCGGCGGTGGGGCACAGGCTGCGGCAGGGTGGGGATTACCCCGCGGGATCGTGAGCGCTGCTGCACCGCACACGCTCCTCCTTAACCCCCTGACCTGCAGCTGCAGCTCTGCTGGAGCAGGGACAGAGCCCAGCAGGAGGCTCCAAGAGAGCGTTTCCTCCTGCCTGCTATCTCAGAAAACTGCCATCGAGGAAATTTAAAGGTCGCCGCGGTTTGCTCCCCTGAATGGGGTGGCATAACTTGGACCAATGAAACTATAATTCTAATCTCTCAAAAGGAGTGGCCTGGCACAGAACATGTCTTTTATGCACGGTGCTTTTTCCTTGTATGTAATCCAGGTGCAGTTTGGAGGCAAAATCGAAAAGGGATAATTAATCATCAATTAATCATCGGGGACATCTCTTTTTTAATTGCCATATTCCACTCCTGAGTCTACTTGGGTAATTAAAAGAAAGATTCCATAAATTAACAGACATAAATGGCAATATACATGATGACACCTCCAGAAAGTATTTTCAGTAGATTTGTCTTCATAGTCATGTTATTTGCATTAGCTTGTACAAACTATTGTGAAATCATTTAAAACTGCCAAAAGATAATTCAGAGGTTCACAGAGCCTGGATAACGTGCAGGAACATCACGCCACACCAGACAGATCCAGGTGGTGACACATTGTTCCTTGATATTTCTTTCTGTTTTGTTTCTCAGTCTGTTTCGACCCAAATGGAAACTGCTGTAACAATTTCCAGAGCAAATCAAAGCCACGTTTCATGTGTTCGTGTCAGGGGGAGAACAAACATTTTTTGTGCTGACCAGGGCTTTTGGAGTGAATGGACGCAGGATTGTTTCTCTGGTATGGAACTAAAATAAGTGGTTTTTCTTTTATATGATTTATAAAACCTGTTTGGGTGCAAGTGCTGATGGCTGCCCAGGGGATCTGCTGGTGTCCAGCTCTGGAGGTGGGCTGCTGGCTTAGTTCCACCTTCAACCTGCTGCAGCACAGCCATTCCTGCAGCTTTTCATCTCCAGTGCACTTAGCAGGCGAGCCCAAAATATTAATGCTTCTGCAGCAGCACCTTTCCCTGCTGCAGGGGGACAGCTGGGGTGGAGGAGTGGCTGCTGAGCAGGAGAGGGCACGGGGTACTTACAGTCTCTGCACAGGGCATCCTCCTGGCCATCCTGCACCACAGATCAGCTCCTCTGAACCCTGTGAGCTCTCTTGGGCTGTCCTCGTGTGCACTGGCTCTGCTGCAAGGTGCAGAAGGCAGGGGAGAGGCACCTAGCATTGACTGCATCAATGTGCCAGAGATATAATACCCTGAAGGAGGATGTGACCCCACCCAGTAACACGTACCTGTAACAAACAAACAAACAAACAAACAAATAAACCATGTAGGATAACATGGGCAAAGTGAGTTTGTGTCTGAGTCCAAGCTTGTAGGAGGTAATTTATCCATTCTAACATCTTATTTCCTGCCATTTATCTTTGCAGTGCCCAGAAAAGAGGACAAGCAGCTATTTATTCTCATTCCAGTCATCCTGAGTTTGTCAATTAGCCTCATAATATTTATGTTGATTGGCCAGTGCAAGAAAAGGTAAGCACCAAGGATGCCTGTCCAAGCAATGTGCTTCTTTTGTTGGTGTCTGTAACTAGTTATAAGTACAGTTGAAACCAAAACATCACATTAAATATCTAAGGGCCAAACCTTAATAGATGATCTAAGATTGGACACCAAACAAGAGTTCATTTTCAGTAAACAACCTTCCTGAGTGTGTCTGTTTCTGATATGAAATGCCCCTACAGCAACCCATAAACTCACTGCAGAGACTCAAATACTGCTCATAAGAGCTTCTGTTAAATTTGTTAAATGCAGCAGTTACTTGCATGCACAGCAGCATAAATAAAGCTATTATCATGCCCCAAACCACTCAAGAGCAGAGATTTGTCCTAGCTGTGTTATAGCAGTGCCATTTTAATGGGCTAAATCCTCATTCTTTTGGCACTCACATCCCAGCTGTTTACATTCATGTCAGTGATGGCACGAGGGGAAAGCAGATGAGTGGATGAATTTGTCTGGTTTTACTGATGATAATTTCTTCAAGTCAGAGAGAACTGATGCCCCAGTACTATTTTATTTTCCTGATGGCTATGTAGCATAAGCAAGCAGGAAGCTTTTCCAATAAGCCTTTTAAGGCATCACTCACAAGAGAGAACTGGCTCTAGAAATACCCTTCTGTGGTCCCCAGAGATGAACTGACACCTGTTTGCAGTGCCAAACTCACACTCCTCCATCTTTGCTGTGCATCTGCCTTCCAAATGTTTTGGTTTGTGAAATTCAAACTTGTAGATACTAGTGAGAAATCTGTGGAAAGCAAATGCTTCCTGTATTGCCACTGGGATGGGGCAATGCCTGACAGGGATGCTGGAGCATGGCCTCAGCTCTCTCAGTGTTGGGAATAACAGCCTGTGTTCCTTTCAGATCCCCAGCAGGAAAGCCATTGCACACACCTGTGGGATTCTAACTGCCTGTGTCTGCTGTACTGCTCCTGTTTGGTGGGCTGCTCATGGAACCACCCCAAGGACAGCCCAGGAGCCCTGAGCTTCCTGCAGTCCAGGTGGGTCTTCCCTGCCTGCTGCCACTTGTGAAGGCAGCTGTTGCAATTCCAGTCCTTAACGGCCCAGGAAAACTGGAGGGGCTTAAAGTGACTGCAGGAAAACTGGAAGAGATCTAACCTGACTCTGAAGCAAGGTGTTTCTGAGAATAGGACAAGGGAGAAAAAGAGGCAGTGGAAACTGCCATAAATAAAGACAACAGGTTGTTCTGTGGGCTTGTTTGGGTTTTTTCTTTTGTGAGGACTCCAGAAATCTGTCAGCAGGACACACACACTGAAGGGCAGCAGCTCACACACAATGCTACACGTGTGCACACTCCTGCATCCAGCCCCTGTGCACCTTGCTCTCACCAGGTCTTCCCTGTTCCCACACACTCAGCCTGCTGAGAGCATCTGAATGCTGAGCAGGAGATATCTGAGATATTCATTTCATCAGCTGATATGCCTCATCTGTTGAAAAGCTGCGGTGCAGAGGCCTTGAGATAAACTTTTACTCTAAAGAGGCATGACCACAGCTACTGCAGGGGACAGATGATTCAGAGAAGAAGTGAGGGTCACTCCAGCAAATATGACATTGGAATTTCTCTAGGAATTGGACATTGACATCAGAATTCAATGAAGCACACCTGATGTTTCTCAACACCATATAGTCAGGTGATGAAATTGCTGACTGATTTTTTAGGAATCATTCCCTATGATGATGATAGAAAAAAAAAAGATTTAAAAAGCATCACTGGACGAGATACCCTTTTCCAAGCCCATTCTGGGTTTTTTTGCTTGAAGAAATAACCAAGACAAACACTGGGGTTTAGTGTGGTTTCATTTCATCAGAACGACCCTGAAAATGTATTTTCTTGAAGGAGCATTTATTCAAACTGGGAATTTCTAATGAGCAGTGGAAGCTCAGACAGAAAATCAAGTTTGTGTCTATCAGCTATGTAAAGAGCCATACTAATCCAATCAGAAACAAAACAACACAGCAAGTGCTGTCTTACACATCCAACTGCAAAATTATTCATTCACTATCAGCTGCTTCCACTACTAAATGGGCAACAGCCCAGTGTAATTTGGGGAGCAACCTAAGGAGGAAAGAAGCAGGAAAAAAAAAAAGGTCAATGCAGAGACTGAAGCAGAAATGAAGTTTCATGGTTGCTGTAATTCTGCTGAGACACAACCTGGGTCTCTACTGTCTCCTGGGCAGCCACCACAGGACGGCTTTACTTTGAAAAATACCTGTGAGCATGCACTGGGTGTGGATTTTCAGAACTGCCATCAGGCCTCTGATGTTCTGCCAGACTCTTAAACAGTTAAAATGTCTACTAAAAACAAGCGAGTGCATTGTGAATGTCCCCAAGGGAAAAAGTAGGGCAGGCAGCCAAGCCCAGCCTGCTGTCCTGGGTACATCTGGTGCAATCTCACCTACTTTACCAGGTGGGAATGCTGGGCAAGGCATTTGGATTGGGACAAATACTGCAGCAGCCCCAACCGGATGGGTTTAAACTGGGCTAAAGCCTCTAGTTTAATTTTACCCCAAAAAAAGGCAAGAAGAGAAGAAGAATTAAAGTGCATGGGTGCAAGTAAGAGAGAGCAAATGAAAGGCTGTTGTACCTCCACAGCTAGAACTCACCCCAAAAAAGATCAGAGCTATTTCAGTAACCACAAAATATAAAAGTTAGGCTGAAGCCTGCCTAGAAACCTGCCTAGTAACAGAGTGATAAATTAAGTACATCTACTTATGGTATCTGTATGCTGCAGATTCACAGGAGCATTTAGGTGAGGAAAGCTGGGCTTGGCCCCAGTGCAGGGCTCCCTGCTCCCCAAACTCATCCCTGCAGAGGGTCCTCACTGCAGCAGCAGCAGCAAAACACCTCCCTCCTGCTTTCTCACAATGTCACGTCTGCAGCATTTGCAAAATCCAGCCCTAATAGACAGCACTTGCCTTCCTAACATCCTGAACCTCGCTGGAATTTCAGCAGTGGTTTTTTATTCTGTGTTTATGGAATGACACCAAAGTATTTCTTTCACACAGTTGTCTCATGAGAGTGTTTTAATTCATTTGCTGTAGTTCATAATTAGTATTTTTAGTAAAGCACTTTTAAAATCCCTTCTTTAGCATGCTCTGCTCTTATTGTTCCCAGCTCATGTCTGGGTTCCACGTATTTTTACCAACTAAGCTCCACATGTTTGGTGAGACATGTCTTTGTCTTTGCATACCCATGAGTTTAGAGTCTTCTTTCTGTCTTTGACTGATAAAGCCTTAGAGCCATTTGTTGAAGAATAAACCCAACTTTTCCTACACAGCTTTTTTCTCCCTAGAGAATGTCAATACTTGTCACACATACAAAAGTACACTCCTGTGCATGCTGCAGGGAAATGCAAAACCCTTTTAGTCTGTCATATTCAGCTGCTTTTGGGAAGTAGCAAAACAGGAAAGAGGAACACCAAGGTCTTTGAATTCAAAACTCACCATTCTTCTCTCACTGACATATATTTTCAAGCTGCCAGCAAGAGAATTTGAAAATGAGCTTACATTCCATTTCCTCATATCCATCCTCATATTTTAAAATTTTTTTGAGTGGCCTCTCAGTACAAGTGTTTCAACCACTGTAACTTGACACAAAGCAAGGCTGAAAAGGAACACAGGAATTTCCACCTGAACATGAGGAGGAACTTTTTTACTGCAAGGGACACAGAGCACTGGAACGGGCTGTCCAGAGAGGTTGTGGTCTCCTCTGGAGATATTCAAAAGCTGTCTGGACACAATCCTGACCAAAGAGCACTTGGGGACCCTGCTTGAGAGGGGTTTCAACAAGATGAGCTCCAGTGTTCCCTCCCAGACTTGCCCATTCTGTGATCTCTCAGGAACTCTTCACTCCTCCTGCACTCGAGGAAATGAAAAGCTGGGTGTTGTATCTCACCTGCTGAGGCATCTCTGCCGAAATTTTCCATCTTGTACAGGTGCTAGAAATCCCATGGCCACTGGGTGTCAGCATCTGTGCTTGGATGCAGAGGACATGGAAAGCAGGTGCAGCATCGTGCCGCCAGAATTTGGTACTTAGTGCATGAAAATGAAACAGAAGGGATAATGTCTCTGTCACCATAAGGAAGAGGAGTCTTGTTCTTTCTGTCCTGCGAAGCAGAGATGTGTCACAGCTTTGCTCCATCATTCATCTCTGGTGTGACCGAGGGGTAACCTCACCTTGTGTCTCGTGCCCACAGCCCACTGCTGCTCCTCTGACCAGATCTGGGTCCCCCATGGCATGTGCCAGCCCCTGCCACTGCCCTCCCCCATGCTCGTGCCACTGAGCACCCACTGGAAGGTCCCATCAGCCCAAACGGGTCTGACCATGCCCTGCTGTGTGTCCCTGCCTCTCTGGCAGCAGCTCCTGCACCCCTGAGCCCCCATGGATCTCAGCAGCCACCCCTGAGCCACTGCAGGCATCTTGGAAGGACAACACAGCCCTTCTGGCTGCAGCTTCTCCATGTCAAGGCTTTGGGACTGCAGCAGCTAATGATTTAATCTGAAATTTAAAGAGCTTCACAGGCCATGGCAGGTTTGCAGCTCACTGCCTTGTGTGGCATTTGTACATTTGAGAGCATTGTCAACCTCTTTATTTCTATGTAGAAGCTAAATTTTCTCAGGAGGGTCTCTGGTTTTCACAGCTTCAAGGCAAGCAAATACAGCTGATGCATGTGCTTGACAGAACAATTTGAGGCAACATATTGTGGCTGAGCTGTCTGAACAGCTGAAATGGCTCTGCAAACTGTCTGTGTCAAGATACCCTTCCCAGAGCACAGAGAGATAAAACAACCAGCTGAAAAATGACACACCACAAGGCTTAGCCCCAAATTGAGGATTCATGTCCCTGCCATCCTGGGCTGCTTGCCTCCTGTGTGGATCTGCATCCAGACACAACACGGGACTGCTACAGCCAGGAAATAAAATGCCACTTCAGCAAGTCTCACACCATCAGACAAATTACCAAAAAAAAATTTTAAAAAAAATTAAACGTGGCTTTGATATTTCCTTTCTTGATGGGTCTGCCCAGGAAACAATCTCAGTGTTTAAGTGGGTCTCAGCCAGGGAGGGCTGAGTGTGGGTGCTTGCTTAGGCTGGGAGGATGGGAGGATGGATGAGCACGGTGGCAGTGCTGCTGTGGTCCCCAGTGATGCATGCACTCCTCTGGGACAGCAAGGACAGCCTGCACAGCACCTCTGACTTCTCTGAGATGCCAAATCAGGTCGCACTGCCTTGCCTTTGATGGAAGGTGTGAAAGGTTCCTGCAGCTGCAGTGAGGAGCTTTGAGCCGTGGCCATCAGCGATCATCCACAAACGATGGGTTTTGTTTCCTTGCCTGGGAAGCTGTGAATGGAAGTGACAAAGGCATGTCACACCTTTGGTGTGCTTGGAGGTCCCACCTCACCACAGCACCAGCGACTCCCGGGAGTTATTTTCATTTGAGAAGAAAAAAAGTACTTAATATTAGAAGTGTCTTTGCAAGTCACAGAACACCTTCCTTTAATGTTATCTAGATATCATTGTGATTTAAAAACAAACAAAGAGTGGCAGAACACTTTTCACTGTAATTCATGCAGTGATGGAGAAAGCATGCATAGCAAGCAGACATGCAGAGCCTGACCTTCCTAGGGGTTAGAGCCTCTCTCCAAGGCTGCTCTTGGCCATGTCACCCACCTCAAGCACCCTTCCTGCATGGCCATGGCACACAGGTGACAGCAAGCAGATGCCAACAGTGTGTTAAACCACGCAGAGCAACAGATATCCTGCAGGAGACACAAACTGCAGCAGCACACACAGGTGTGAAGCTGCTCTAAACATTAACAAATGCAACCAGGCAGTGGTCTAACATGCAGGCGAGTGTAACATGACACGGTTACAGAAAATTTACACAGGATAAAGAAATAAAGACAGCAAACACAGGATCCCATCCTGTCTCTAGGTACCCAAACATCCTTTGTACCCCCACAGGGTCTGACTGCAGAGCCAGGGCTGCTCAGGGAGCCTGGGAGAGTCATGGTGCCACCAAGAGTTCCCCACCTGATGCATGAAGACCATGCAAGAATAGTCCTTGCCTTTTATCTGATGATGTTCCAGCTCTTACCTGTTGAAATGGAAATATGTCCCAACCTTTGGGACTCTCAAATTGATCTTGGCTGGTAGCTGCCCAGAACTTTATGCCTGTGATGCCAATTTGT